ATTTGGGTACCCGAAGTATTCTGTACCTTAAAAAATTTAAAATTCCCGCTTCTAATTAGCCGATAATCCAGATACCTGTTTTTACCGTCAAAGCTTGCCATTACTGACGGTTCCAAGTTTTAACATTATACCGCCACCTCTCTTATTTTACTTTGTCTATGGCCTCTAGGCGGTCTACCTGAGGCGTTATGGTGCTGGTGGTGACTTTCACATGCTGATCGTTGTGGCTGTAATGAGCCTGCATTAGAAGCTCCGCGTTAGCGTGTTGATTGGTGTAGTCATCTCTGAAAGTTGCCTGGATCCTCAATATGTTCAACTGGCTCAACTCCTCAAAGGCCCTCGGCCCGTATAAACCTGGAAAGCGCTGTGTTATCTTCACTCAACCTGGATGAGGATTCACTCACCTAATTCCCTTTTCAAGTCGATCTGGTACTCCCAGACTCCAGGCTTTTCATCCATTTGATACAGTCGTTTCGTGGCGATTTCGCTCCTGCCTCCACCTTGCCGCTCCACGTACGCAGTCACCTCCATGAAACTGCTCTGAAGACTCGCCTGCGACAATGGAGACCCATCGTGGAACGACGCCACCAAATAGGTGGTCACTGGCATCCCAGGCTTGAACACTTGCGGAGAATCACCCAGAAATTTCAGTTTCACCTGCGGAAAACTCAGTTCGAAAATGAAAGTAACTCGTTCAGGGCACTCACGGTTGAATTCGATATTCGGGCACTGGAGTATCCTTCGATCACTTCGTCCAAGAATCGGTCCCCAACTGTAGCGGTGATAATCACTTCCATTCCATCCAAGCTGGAGACGTGCTCCAACAAACCCCCAATCGGAAACTTAAAAGCGTATGTCCCGTAGAACTGGAATAAATCATCAAATGAAAAACCCACTTTATTGATCCCCGATTTGAGGTGCTTTGCAAACAAGAGGATTAACTCCAAATTGCACTGTAAAATACGCACAAATTTCAAGCTGGGAATCGGCTCCCAATAATCCATCCGTGGCATCCAGGAGGGAAACTCCTCGTGGAAATTGTAATACTTCTCCACTAACGGCTTGTTGTAGCGCTCGTAAGTGTCGTAGTAGTTATCATACGGATCATCCCTGTAGCTCCCCTCGTAGGAGCGCTGATTGCCCCGTGGTCCATCAAAGTTGTCCCTGAAAAGCATTTTTTTTATTGTGGCCAGTTCGAGCGCTAATGCCCGGTTTCCGAACTCCAACATATCGGTTACATAAGCTTATGAGTCTCATAAACTACCAAAATCACGTCTGTTGGGTTTCTCAACGTCT